CCGCGAGGAAATTTCTTATCGTTATAATAACGATAAAAAAGTATATGCAGTATATACAGAGTAAATTACATCAATAATTACGAGTAAATTATGGTAAATTACAGATTGAAAATTGCGAATAGGATTTTGAACAAAAAAAAAAAACCTTGTAATGTTTTATGTATAAATAAACATGTCAAGTAAAACCTTGGGCATACATAAATTGATAAGATCGGTAGGTTAATTCATCAGAAATATAAAAAAAAATATTGTACCACTTGACCAAACATAGCAAAAATAATGGGATGCATTCGTGAAACCAAAATCAAGGTCATTCTTTTGAACTAAGAGAGATAAATTCGGTTAGTTTGAAAAATTAACATTTGGTTAGACTACAGAATTGTACAAAAAATTAGAGTATACATATTGTTGGTTGATAAGGGTATCGATAATGTGAATGAATAGTAATGCAGTGATAAAGTAATGATAAAGTAGTGATAAAGTAGTGATAAAGGATAAGGAGATAGAAATTCATTCTTGGTGATCGAAACGATTGCGAGTAGATTAATAATATAAATTAAAAATAAAGGCCAAGAGAGAAAATTATAATGATCTTTTTACCCCAGGTCTGAAACCTTCTTTCTTTGTATATAAAAGAAGGGGTAAATACATATGATAGACATGCATCATAACGCTATTTGGTAGGGTCGGCCTTTCAAGCGGAGATTAATACAAGAGCAAAATTTTCTTTTTTATTATTAATAAAAAGAAAAATGATCATTTGATCAATTGGTAAAACGCCGATTGTTAATAGCATAGATCCAAGTTGAATAGTAAAAAGTCGTGAGAAAATATTTACCTGTACTTTGTTCAACAAACCCTCTGTGTAAAATCTAATTTAAGTTACGACATTGTTGAAGTTACATGTGAGTATTAAAATTGGTTCAAATTCTATAAAAATGTATTCGAAGTATATTTCAAGTATATTTTCTATGTTTATTCAGTATATTCAGTATATATTCAGTATATGCGGTAACAGGTAACAGATAACCAAGGTTTACGTACATACATAAAAAGCGAGATAATTATAATGTTATATATTAATCAGTAAGTTAATTCTTAAATCGGATAAATACCGTTACCGTTATTGATACAGCTCCGAGGCAAAAGCTGCATTCAACAAATGATTGATGCTGAAAATAAATGCGAAACAGTTAAACTCGATTGATACGGTATTAATAAATTACGGAATAATGATAAAAAATTATGTAATGATGATTAACCTTTTTTTTCGATAATTATAATAGTTATATGGGAGAGTTTCTGAAGGTTCTGAGTGTTCTGAGTGTTCTGAATGGTGCAGAATACCATGATTGTCGTGTCTTTCATGTTTCTCAGTTTCTCATGATTCTAGAGAATGTTTTTTTTTGGTCAGGTGGTACTGTACACGATGAATTAGATAAATTAGATGAATTAGATGAATTAGCAAAAATCCTTTCATGTATGTATGTATGTACGCATAATGCCTATCGTTAAGAAAATAGTACACAAAGTAAGGAACTTTTGTTACATCAAGTAGTTTTAGTGTTACGGAGTACCAAGAAGTAGGTTATCATTGGATGTAAGAACGAATCGACATGTTTTTGGTTATTATGAAAAACCTGATAAAGTAAAGATTACCAGTTTTGAAAAAAATTCTTTTTAGCATGAGATGGGCTGAACTGGTTTTACTTCCGAACAAACTTTATACACGAATCACGAAATTGGTCGCGTAATCCTCCTTATCTATAACATAATAAAAAGTAATTATAAATTTAGATAACGCGAGGAATAAAATTAATTTTCCTGATTGGTTGATAAATAACTGTATTCGATATCTATTTAAATAATCTATATAATTAAGGTAGTCCAATCCTATCCATCCCTTCTCGTTCTATTCGGTTCTATTCAGTTTTAGATTAGATTTATCGAAAAACAAAGACATACTCGACGTTTAAGATCATTACTCAATACATTACAATAATTAATTTTAAATATTGGAATTATTTATTGGAATTAATAATGAAAAAGACAAAATCAATTATACATAAATTTGAAAATATAATGCAATGAAATAAATTTTGAACGTACGTACATTTCATTTTATTTATTTACAAAAATAAAAACAATAAAAAAAAAACAATAATAAGAATAATAAAAGAACAATAAAGAATAATAGAAGAACAAGAAATACATATATACATAAAAAAAAAAAGAAGTGTTTTTTACATATTTATATATCGATCGATATTAGTAATGAACCAACAGATTCATGTTTTCATGTTTCATGTTATGTTTTGTTCATGGTTTTATATTTCATGTTTATAGGAGGAATAAGTGCATGTATTATAATTAAAGATTACTTTAACGTTAATAAAAAAAATATTTGATTTTTTTTTAATAGCTAGCATAAATGTTCGATTTAATTTTTTTTTGTTTTTTTGTTTTTTTTTGTTTTTTTTTTTTTTTTTAAAAAAAGTTTTTTTAGTTTTTTTTCTTTTTTTTTTTTTTGTTCTATATATTAGTACCATATTATTTATTAGTACCATATTGTGTTGTGTTGTGTTGTGTTGTTCATGATGCCGTAAGTGTTCCTCCTTCAGTATATTGTTCATTCATGAATAAATGAAGTAAAAAAAAAAAAAAGGGGAAGCTAATGTTGCCTCATTTTAATAAAACGAGGCAAATATTTTATTCACTTTCAAGTAACGATAACTGAAAGTGAAAGAGGTTTTACCAAAGCCGAACGCGTTCACCGGAGGTTCGAATCAGAGAATATACGATGATATAAAGGTAAAAGAAAGAGAGACAATTCAATTACCAACGCGACCAACCAACATAACCGGCTTTGATTTTTTCATCTACTAAACTTTCGACAAATTTTTTTGCATCGAGGTAACTTGAATGATGTTGAACATGTATGGCTCGTTCCATGAGACTACCATCAGGTCGGATGTTACCATACCGTACATGAGTAATTAGACCTTCTTCGACTTTAAATTGCCAAAATCGAGTTGCAGTCTCAAGATGCCCTGAAGGTAAAGGAGATGCAATTTCTCGATTAGGGGAGTTACCGTTTGAAGATATGATATTCTTGGTATAGATAGGACATGGTTTTGATATTGGTTTACGAGTCTTTTTTGGCCAGGAGGAGAGGCTTACATTAGGTTCGACAATAGTCGCAGACATTTTACGAGTGTTTCCGAGAGATGGCATAAGAATAAAACGAAAGGAAATACAATAAGTACAGTAGACTGTAGTAGATTTTAAATAAATATGAAAAGGTATCGTTGTTATTATTATTTTTAAAAAGATGTATTATCGTTTATTCGTTAAAAGAAAATTATTTCTTATTACTCTTATGATGATTAGGAATGAAAAAAAATACTCTTCAAAACAGCGAGGAAGAAACAAGTCCCTTATATATACTTTCTGAAGAGATTAACCAATAACGTTAATTATTCATTAGCATATAATTAAAAATTTTTTTATAGTATATAGTATATAGTATAATAGTATAGTATAATATAAAAAAAATTTTTTTTTTTTTTTTTTTTTTATACAATATGTCTGTTATACGTACACTATATTATACTTATACTTACAATATAAATTTATATGTTATACTAGTGTTGCACAATTTTTATACAAGACTACAAAGGTTTATTGTAAAGGAGAAATGAAAAAGAATTAATCTTTTCCTTTTATAATATATTACATATGTTTTATATAATAGTGTTTTCTCTACGCACACACTAACAGATCTTTAACGTATCGATGTTATGAAAATTTCATTTCTTACAGCCAACATCCGCATATCTTACTGCATAAAGATTGAAACCCTAAACTGCGGAAATAAGGAAATAAGAAACTACGGAAATAAGAAGATAAGTGGCGTGATAAAACCTTTACTACGTACTACGCCGACTTTAGTATATAATGCTAGAAATTACTACGCCTAAAACTATAATGTAATTTTAACCGAGCTATGTAAGGGTTTTATTTTAAATGGAAGTGATTTTCCTCGATGAATTACAATCGTTTATTTTTTAAATCGTGTATTACCTTTTATTTGGTAGATGATTCGGCTAATATATTTTTTGATTCTATTGGATTCTGTGTTTCGACTAAATAGACCTCGTGATTGAACTTTACGAAAAATTTTATTTATTATTTATTTATTTTATTCTATTCCGAGCTTTTTTTTCCCACCAACCATCCTGTCTGCCTTTATACGTTCTATCATTTATGTATATCTACGAGTTTGGATGATAGATATTATATAGCATATACACTTCTTACATATATATACAACTTACATACATACACAACTTACATATATATACAACTTACATACATACACGACTTACATATATACATAACTTACATATATAGCGTTACATAGCATATATACAACTTAC